TGGTGAAGCAGTTGAAGTATTGCTGCAACTGGTGTAACCGCACCTGCGGAGTGGACACTGCAAGTAAGAGCCCGCAGAAGCGGGAAGAGAGACGCAGAAGCAGGCTAGGTGGAGAAGGCGGTGGTCGCAGGTGCGATGTTCCTTCCGCACCTGCGAGGACGCAGATGCGGTGAGAAGGGCGCAGGTGCGAAGCTTGAAGGTTTGGTTGTTTCCGCAGAAGCGGACAAAGGGCCGCAAAAGCGCCTCCGCATGTGCAAAACCTAGAGCGCAGGTGCGAGCCCAGTGACTTAAGTGGTTTCTACAGAAGCGGAGTAATAACTGCAGAAGCGATCCCGCAGGTGCGGATAAGTGGCCGCAGGTGCGTAAAGCCTGGGCAGAATGTTTAAAAACACGGGTTCGCGATTTTAGTCTCATTTCAACATTTTGAACTCGGATTTGAGTGATTTTGGAGAGGATTTTCGAGGGGTTTTTTGAGCTAAGCTTCTTGTACTCGTTTTGTATCAATAATCGTGTTCCACATTGTTGTTCCCACTTAGATTGTGTGGTGTTGTGGAGAAATTGGGGGTTTGAGGCTAGGGATTTGAAGAGTTAAATTTGGGGAATTGAATGGCCATTTGATGTCGGATTTTGATAAATTTGGTATGGTTAGACTCGTGAGTGAAGGGGCTTTGGAGTTTTGTAATTTTTGTCGGATTTCGAGACGTGGGCCCGGGGCCGGCTTTTGACCAATTTTGTATTTTGGCTTATAATTTCGTATTTGTTTTATGGAGTTGATTCCTTTAGTCCGTATTGATTGTATTGTACTGCTTGTGACTAGATTCGAGACATTTAGAGGCCGATTCACGAGGCAAAGACACTTTGGAGTAGATATTTGTATGAAATCCCGGATTATTGTATTATGTGAGTATTTTGGAGCTGACGCACATGCTAAGTGATGGGCGTGTGGGCGTGCACCATGGGAATTGGGACTTGGTCCATTCCGTGAAACTAGAAAGTTGAATAAGGTTGTTGTTAGCTATGTGCCCTTTCTGTGCTATAGAAATTAGACAGTGAATTATGCTAGAAATCATGCTTAGGCTATGTGTTGGTGCTGTAAAGACCCCAGAGGTCGTGATACATGTTGAACCTTCTTGCTTATTGTTACTTGTACTCAGTCGTAGTATTACTTGCATATTATACCTCAGTCTTTGTTATCCCTTATTGAAACATTATATCATTTTGTTTTGGGCTGATTCCCCTTTATTACTAAGGGCCGTGAGACTAGAGAGGTTGATGACTGAGTAAGGCCGAGGGTCCTGTCTGTGAGGTATTGATACTATAGCACGTGAGTTGTCCGTGCAGCATGTGAGTTGTCTGTGCGGATCCACATATTGATACTATAGCACGTGAGTTGTCAGTGTAGCACGTGAGTTGTCCGTGCAGCACGTGAGTTGTCCGTGCGGATTATAGCACTTGGGTTGTAGGAGACCTTCCGGAGTCTGTACACCTCCAGTGAGTGCATGTACATATTGAGTGTGAGTATTAAGGGCTGTGAGCCGAGTGTTGAGCTACTGAGAGAGCCTGAGGGACTGTTGCCCTGAGAGGTTGCACTTGTTTCATTCGTTGCTGCACTTAAATGATTTATGTCATTGTTCTAAAACTTCTGGAAAATATTGTATCCAGTTTTACTTGAACTTGGTAATGTATAACTGACTTGACTTAAATTTCTGGAATTGAAACTTGTCTACTTTCATTGCTGAAATTACTGAAATGAACTGTATTTGTATAGCTTGTCACTACCTTTCAGTTCCTTAATTATTATTGCTACTTACTGAGTTGGTTGTACTCACGCTACACCCTGCACTTCGTGTGCAGATCCAGGTGCTTCTGGTAATGGAGGACGTTGATCTCGTGCGTGGTTGAGTATCGAAGATTCACGAGGTAGCTGCCGGCGTTCGCAGTCCTTGTCTCTCCTTCCTTGTTATCTTTTCTTTTCTGTATTGGTATTTTGACACAGACTCTTGTAGACATGACTTGGTGACACCCGATGTTTGGAGCTATTTTTCCGCACTGTATTTTGAGTTTAACTCCTGTTATTACGAAAGCGCTGTCATGTAAAAGCTTTTGACTTATCTTTTGTGAAACATTGGAAGTAGTTTTGAGAATAGGCTTGCCTAGTACCATTGATAGGCGCCATCACGACAGGTTAGGATTTTGGGTCGTGACCGTCTCCCAGCACCGGGATCTATATTTATGAATTGGTCTTCACCCAAAGGTTGATTTTGAACAACTCTCCGAGCCCTTTCCTCCTCATAGACAAGTTGTGCATTTCGAAGAGCTGTCTCCTCAGCATCTCGTGCAGCTTTTTCTCTTTGCTGGGATGCCTCTCTTGCAGCCAAATCAACATTATCGTCATCTTCCGCCATAATTTCCTTGGTTGAGGATTGCCCAACCTTCTTTGTATTCTCGAGGAGATTTCTTTTCTTCCTCAACTGTCGCAGGTATTTCTCAATTTCTGGTTCGTATGGGGGCACTTCCTCCCCAGAGGATCGAATCATGAACCAATCTAACATGTATCCTGTGCACAATCAAGTAACACCAAACGTAAAAAGAGAAAAATAAAATAAAAAGAAAAAATAATTCCTGAATTAGCACCACAAACTATTTCAAACACTATTAATTGTCAATCCCTGGCAACAGCGTCAAAATTGACGAGCGCAAAATACACACTTAAATATGCTCGCTAGTCGAATATAGTATAGAAAAATTTTGTATCCACATGGATTAGATTTAAACAGTATTTTCGTAGCTTCTAGTTTAATTGTTATCCAAGATGATCGACAATTAGATTTGTGTGATTAAAATGAAAATTAACTAAAAGTCTAAACTATTGACTAATGACAATCGAAGAAATGAGTAAGGAAGATATCAATGGGAAAAATAGGGGTTGATTGGATAGGTGCAAGATATTTGTCTGGGATTTAACTTTAGCTAATTCACTCTCACGGTTCAAGTGAGTCTCTTGAATTCACTCAATTATTAGTTCAAACGTTCAGTAGAAACTCCTCTCTCGATTACGTCTCAACCTCACAATATGAACCAATTTATGCTCGGTGAAGATATGCAAGAATTCGTAGTGGATTGGTCTTTAGCAGAACCTCTTTCGATTATCCCCCTAACTAGGTCTAAACAATAATTCAACTAGCCTCTTTCGATTATTAAGAAGAATCAATGAATTCAACTAACAAGATAATGCAAAAACATCACAAGTTATGCCTCTTTCGATTACATGAACATGTGAAAATAGTTGCAATAATTAAAACACCCAAAACGATTCAATACATACAAATTAGAGTTAATAATCCACAAACAAATATCAATACACCAAATCTTTCAATCCCTAAAAAGAACTACTCCATGGATATGGAGTAATTCATCACAAATAACTTTAAGTTAAAGGAAAGCGTAAACGATCCAAACTCTTGTCTTGAGTAAGGATTGAATGATGAAATCCTTGTGCTCTTGCTTCTCCTACTTCTTCTTAGCCTCCTTAGGTTTTAGATGTGTCAAAAGTCCCAAAATACTGTTTTCCATGTATATATACCAAGTAAGGTCAGGCCCAAACGAACACATCTTCTCTTACGCGAAATTGGACTCTTTCCAGAATAGGACGTGCGCGGCCGCGCATCTGGGAGTGTGCTCGCACATATGGCCGCGCACTTTGGAAGGTATTCTGTCTGACATGCGCTCCCAGTGCGTGCTCGCGCACCTGGGTGGCGTCCTACTCAATTCTCCGTTTCTTTCGTTGCGTGCATGATTGTCCGTTGATCCCCGAACACGATCACAACTTAATCCTTGAGCTTTTACTCAGACTTCAAAACTACAGAATAGCTTGAATTCATGCCATACATCTACATAGCTCGGAATTACTCCTACAAGGTATAAAACACACAATTAGTGCAAAACACTAGCGATTAACGCTCAAACTCAATTAAAGTACAGCAAATTAGAGTGCAATAAACAACTAAAACACACAATTATAGCCTACCATCAACCTGGAGGTCACATTATAAATTTGAAGCGTGATGCTGCTATTAGGAATATCTTAAATTATGTGTATGTTGCTGCTGATCATTTTATCCATCTAGTAAATGGATAATCCATTTACTAGATGGCATCAGTATTGTGCCTGGAGGAATGTTGTTACACAGTTGAGGAATAGACTTGACTTCATACGCCAAGTAACTACATGGTATAGAGAATTTTATCATATGGTGTAAGGATTTAAGGGAGTGGTGAGCTTTATTCTAGGCTACTGCTCCGCATGACACATTGTGGAGGCTACTCGTGGGAATATGTATTGTGATTCCTATGATGTTGTTGGTCGAATTACTATAACTGGACATGATTGACGAAATCAATTCACTTTGATTCGGATACCTATTTATTTTCATTGGATTTTAAAAGCAAAACCTAATTAAACAAGAATTAAAGAAATAATTAGCTCACTTTGATCAGGAATCGCTAGACCTATTTTCATCGGATTTTGACAATAAAACCTTATTAGACATGAATTGATTCACCTTGATAGTACATACCACAAATCACTTTCATGTGCTAAAGCTTTGAAATGACGTAACAAGTATTTTACGTACACCCATTTAATTGGACTTAAAGAATCTTGATTTAAGTCGATGTGTTTTGGATTTCGAACTTAATCCAAATTTTACGTCCAACAAATTTTATCTAATTTCTGGTTATTAGCTATTGAAAAATTCACTCTCCGTAGAAACACTAGCTTACTCAAAATTATATGACTCACCAAATTGTTATAATTAACAACCACAATACAAACCATTTGTTAAACGGACTACTCGTACTGCCTTACAATGCTTACCTACTAACATAACAAACCATGCAAAAATCTCTACCTCTAGTTTGTCTTGTTAAACTCTGCTCTTTCTATTCTTTCTATAAATACCACCACTTACTAAGTTTGTATAGAAAACCAAAACCAAAAATCCATTTCCATTCAAGAAATTTAAAAAACCAAAAAAACAAAATAACAAACAAAATGGCCGGAAAAAACACCATATTTGCTGTGGAAGCAATTGTTATAACTATTGTCCTTTTCATCCCTAGAGTCTTTTCAGATGATTCTGTTCCTATACCAGCTGATAAATCACAAATAAATAGTTGGTTTGAAACCAATGTTAAGCCTTTAGATGCAAGAAAAGACACTTTGGACCCTGCCCTTGTAGCTGCCGAGGCTAATAAAACTACCATTAAGGTGACTTTTTTTTACTATTTCATCCTTAACCAGAAGTCTCGGGTTCTAGTTAATCCCAGTGTGGGACTTTGTAGCGTGAATCTGGATTTAATCAGACCAATGCGGGAATCGGATACTGGATGGAAAACCAAAAAAAAACTACTCCTTCCGTTTCAATTTGTTTGAACCTTTTCGGGTCAAATAATTTTCGATATGAATTCGAACATATAATCTTGAAGTTTTTTGAAATAAAATTTACATATTTAAAAACTACATAAAAAGTACTATAAGTCACAATAATTAACAGCTCAAAATATTAAAAAAAACATTTGCAAAAAATATGGTCAAAAAAATCTTGGTTGACTTCTTAAACAGTAAATGTTCATTCTTTTTTAAACGAATGGAGTATTTCTTTTCCTCTTAGATTCATAAATATATTTGTTAGTTTATTCATGCATCTTTTATATATATTTAAAATCTGCATTGATAATTTTTTTTTGTTGTCATCAACTTTAGTTGAATTCTGACTCTAAATTTTGAATACGTTACCGAAGGTAAGGGCAGATGGAAGTGGTGAATTCAAGACTCTGACGGATGCCATAAACAGCATTCCTCAAGGGAATAAAAGACGAGTTATTATTTCGATTGGAGGTGGAAATTACACAGAGAAAGTTAAGATTGAGAGGTATAAGCCTTTCATTACATTATATGGAGACCCTAAGAATGTACCAAATATAATCTTTAATGGAACAGCAAAAGATTATGGTACAGTTGATAGTGCCACCGTCGTCGTTGAATCTGAATACTTCACCGCTGTTAATATCAACTTTGTGGTACGTATTATAATTCATGACAGTCTCTCTATCTTCACAAGGTGCTAAGCAGCGGCGGATCCAAAATTTAAATTTTATGGGTTCAACCTTTAAGACTCTTATCATAGAACCCATTATATTTTTAACTTATGGGTTCAGACATACCATTCTTTTCAATTTTAATGAATTTTTACATATAAATTTATATTTCGTGTCGAAAGTTATGGGTTCAGGTGAACCCGGTGTCGCTACTCTACATCCTCCCGGGGTAAGGTCAGCGTACACACTACCCTCCCAGACCTCACTTATAGAATTTCGCTGAGGTTGTTATTGTTATATATTGTTGTTTCTTTCTATCTTTCTTTAGTTTCATATAATATTAGTGTGTAATATATTTTGTTGTTTTGACAATTATGATTAGAATTCTGCACCAAGACCAGATGGGAAAAGGGAATTAGCTCAAGCAGCAGCATTAAGGACAGGAGGAGATAAAGCTTCATTATATAACTGTAAAATGTATGGATTTCAAGACACCTTTTGTGATGACAGTGGGAAGCATTTCTTTAAAGATTGCTACATTGAAGGCACTGTTGATTTCATCTTTGGCAATGGAAAATCCTTATATCTGGTAAATAATTTCATTTCTTTTAAATTTTTATTCATAATCTTCTCATCTGATCACTCGTAGGGCAAATTCACAATATTAGCTATGGGTTTGGATAAACTCGATAGCTTGTACTTAGACTCTATTATAGGCGGATCTAAAATTTCTAGAACATGAGTACACCACGGAAAAGCGAGAAAAAAGAAGTACTAAGTGAGAATCGATCAATGTTCTTTTGAATAAATAATTCAACATTCAACCAGGTGCACCATTTAATATTTTTGGAGCATGGGCCAATATATAATATTAAATCAATTTTTCGAAATATATACATAAAATACCTAGTTTGGCGAAAAGACCATGAGTTCACATGCACTGTAAAAACAGCCTAAATCCGCCCCGGGACTCTATATTTATAAAAACAAAACATTAAAAATATAACTATTTAATTGTGAATGCACTAACTAAAACGAGTTATGGGTTCGACGACAAGTTCAGAAACCATAAACTTCAAATTCTACTCCGCCTCTATTCACTCGTAATGCTAATGAATTTTATTATTTTTTTGAAAAAAAGAACACAGAGATGCATGTAATTCCAGGGGATCCAATGGCAATGATCACAGCACATGCAAGGGGAGCAGGCAATGTTGACAGTGGATATTCATTTGTTCATTGTATAATAACTGGAACAGGAAATACAGCATTTTTGGGAAGAGCATGGAAGCCTTTTGCTAAGGTTGTTTACTCTTACACTGATATGAGTGACGTTGTTCACCCTGAAGGTTGGTCTGATAACGGCAAAAGTGATTATGACAGGTTAGTCGGCGATAAGCTTTTATAACCACACAAATGTTATGATCCCATAAAGTTTTTACTATTTTTTTAAGACCACAAGTTTCAAAACTTTCTTTTTTTTTCTCTTAAATTTCGTGACGAGTCAAACTAAATCATCTAATTTGAAAAGGAGGAAGTAATAATTTCAATAGTCATAAATTTAACTTGCTCTTTTATCATGTGATTTGGTCCCGTACAAAAAAAGGCTGTAAATATAGCACTCTTTTTTATCATGTGATCGGTTCCATACTGGAACTTTATGGCCTATGACTAATCAATACATTGCATATTTAGAATTTAAAGTTTATTAGTTTCTATAATGATTTTAGGTTAATATATAATAACACTTAGGTTCATAGTCTAATATTTATAGATATTAAATGAATTTCTTAATATATATATATATATATATATAAGCAAAAGTTATTGGGTTCGGTGGACTGTACATAATGCTCTCGATCCACTCCTAATGATAGAGTTGGTGCATAAAATATCAAGTAAACATATACAATGAGAAGTGAAATTCAAGATTTGAAGTTTATTTATTAATAATAATTGAGTTCTACAAGGACTTTAAGTCAAAATATATATTAATATTTAACGGGGCTTCTGAATGTATATATTAGATTTGAGCAAACGTTATTAGTTACAGTGAACTCATATGTTTTCATTTTCCATCTTTCTCCTCTATTATCTATTTGTTTCTTTCATTTTCATTGTTATGTACTCACACTATGAGATTTTCCCGAGATTCGATCAGAACATATCAGACTATCTATTAATCGATTTGAAAATAGCACGGTCATCTCGCCTTCTCGTATTTTTCAGGTCGGTGTTTTATGGAGAATACAACTGCAAAGGAGCAGGTGCAACTATGGAACGTAGGGTGGGATATGTGAGGAAATTAACTGATGCAGAAGCAAAGCCTTTTATCACACTTGGCTATATTGAAGGCTCCAAATGGCTGCTTCCTCCTGTGGCACTGTAGGTAATAGGGGCGAAAAAGGACAGAATGGTCCTAGCAATTTTGACTTTTGTTTTTATTTCCTTAATTTCTCACTTTTGAATGTAGCCCATCCCAACTAATATGGGATTGAGGCATTGTTGTTGTTTTCAATTTTGGGTAGCCGATTTCAACTAGTTTGAGATTGAAATTTAATTGTTGTTCCCACTTGGACAGTCAAGGTTTAGAAATAAAGATAAAGTGTAGATGTTTCACAATTAATCGTTCTTCTCGTTGTATTAGTCGGGTATCATTAGCGGCGGAGCTAGCATAAGATTTGTGATTCAGCCGAATCTAGTAATTTTAATTTAAATTTTGTATTTGTTTTGAAAATTTTATTAAATATATATAAATTATTAATTTAGAACTCAATAACATAAACGAACTAAAATAATGAATCTGCAAATTTTAAATTTGGGCTCCGCCTCTGAGTACCATGGTATGGTGTTATTGATAAAAAGAGGAGTAATTTTTTAACAACTTATCCTAGAAAATTAGATAACATTTATGTGCAAAGTTATAGCAATAGCAATCTGTTTGTTTATTTATTTTTAAAATAATTTCCATCGGATAAAGTCAAACCTCTCAAATAGGAGCATATTCCAAGCTGCATTTCAATGCTTGTCTCTTTTTAAAATGGCTAATTCAATATATCAAGAATCAAATGAAAGCTGGTAGTGGGAAGGCAAGTGTCATTTCAGGGATATAGAGAATAAAGTTTCCAGAATCATAGCATTTGAATAGGACATTCTTGCCTTTAACAAAACAAGAAGAGAAAAGAAAATTCTTATTCTTACTGCTGATTCATATAAAATTGCAAGGAATAAACCTTTTTTTAACATGAGCATAATATCTTTTTGACCACATGTTTAATTCTAAATAATCGGATAATTGGCTGATTTTTAGGTATAAGTGTTTACCCCGAAACGGATAAATTCGTACGCAATTTTAAGGATATGTAGATTAATTCAACACAAGTAATCAAAAATGTTAGATAAACGAATTAAAGATGAAATAAATAATCAAAGCAGTTGTGATGTTGAATCCGGGCTCGAATTTGAGCTTAACAGTAGTTTTGCCCTCAACCGAACCCTCGACTCGAAGCCAAATGTATATGAAGAACTTATGATTAAAATGAGAACCTTTCAATAACTAGAAAGCAGAGAAATAAGTTTGTATTGCTTTGATATGCATGTTACAATATCCCTATTGAATAAGAACCCCGTATTCCCCTTTATATAGTATGGGAATTTTACCCCTAGTAAAATTCGAAAAAGGTAAAAATACTCTTTGTACAGCAATCACTTATACGCTACCGGCATCAGAAGAGATCTGCTCCGTGATATCCAGTTGGGCGCGGATATTACGGCCTTCTGTTAGTTGTGTGCAACTATTTGTAGTGCTTTCCGAGGTCTTGGAGCTCATTCCAGGTTCGGGGGATGTTATCTTGTCAGGCCCGGTGGCGAGCATCTCGTTTTAACCTCGATTCAAAGAGTTCTCAGATTCGGTCTCTATATCATTCATTCATATTTCTTACTTCGTTTGGATCAACGAGAACTCAGAGTGTGTGCTGACCCCGAGTTTACTCGTATACATATAGTTCCCTCGTTTCTCAGAGAGTAGGTTCGCCGAAACGATGGAAAATGATGTATGAGCCTCGGTTCCTTCCTTCGTACGTTACAACCGAAACTACGAATAAGCTGAAATGTCCCATCAGTCGTGTCGTTCTGACTTCGAACACGTGTGAATCGTCGGATGGTCGCCTCCGAATGCGAAATGTCGCGTATTGATTACATTTTCTCCTATAAAACCTTCGACCTTTTATACTTCTTCCACTTTCCGATCCTAACTTTTATCTTCGAACTCTCTAGTGGCTATCAACTCTTTCAACCCTTCATCTCTTTATCTCTGATCTTCAAATCTTCGTAACTGTTCTTAGATTTCTACCTAGATCTTTATCCTACCTTCAAACCTCCATACCTTTTCCTTCAAACCTTCATATCTCCCCTTCAAATCTTCATATTTTCCCTTCAAATCTTCTTATTTTCCATATCATGATGGTCAAGACTTCCAAATCAGTTCCTCAACAGGTTGCCACTTCATCTTTCCACCCGGTCACAGGTACCGAGGCGGTCGTTCCCGAAGTGGCTGCTACCGAATCGGCCCCAGAGCCCCCCATGAAAAGCTTTATTCCCGAGGGCTGTTCAATTGTAAACGACTTCGAAGTCAAAAAGGCTGTATCCAAACAAGATCGAGGTGAAGGGGCATCGAGATATATATGCTATATTACTGAAGATACCCTTCATATAGTCTGAGAGGACTATAAATGGGGAGGTAAGGACGTGGTAGTCCCCGGGCTTGAGGACGATATGACAACTCGCATGGAGGGATATTTAAGTATTTACACTTACCCCTTCACGCTGGGCCCGGTAGACCCAGTAGTTTTGGCTTTCTGCAAGAGGTAAGAGGTGTGCCTTGGGCAAATCCACCCGTCTCTTTGGAGGATCGTGATCCTCCTATGTTATTTTGTGAACAACACCGAATATCCTCGGTTCACCCTCGACCACCTACTTAATCAATCTCACTCGCCGGGCCAACAAGGCTTTCTTTTCAAGCATCAATGAGGATCGAGGCTGGCAGGGGCGCTTCAATTGGGTAAACACTGAAGATTTGATCCCTCCCGAATTCCTACCATTTCCTGAGAAGTGAAATACATCTCGTAAGTGTAGTATTTTCTTGAGTGGAAAGTATTCTTTTGTTTTATTTCTCGCTATCGGTATTTGCGCTCGTGCAGTTGTTGCTCGGGTTCTCAATGCAATACCCCGGCTCAAGGAGTGGATCGAAGGCATCTACAAGAAGATGTCATACTTTGAGTGCTCGTGGTGCAAGCTTTCGAAGGGCCAAAGGGAGGCCCAATCTTATGGTAAGGCTCTTCCGAGAATAGTTACTATTACTCCCCAAACTTACATAACGCTGACCTATTCTTTTTTCCTTCGCAGGTTTGCCTAAGACCACCAAACTTAGGCCGCTGGAAGGGGACTAAGGTGCACCCTTATCCGTTGATTCCCTCGTTACGGGGTAGCCCGGGGCTGCTGTGGGGGAGAAAAAGAAGACAAAAAGAAAGTCTTCGGTCTCGTCGGGTCCCGAGGTGAAACCAAACAAGAAGTCAGCTTCCCGGGCTCGTAATCCCAAGAAGAACACCAACTCCCGGGTACCAGATTCTAACTCGCTTCACTGGATCAGGGATGAATCCGAAGAAGATGACATATTTGTTGCTAGCGGATCGGCCCCTGCCGGGGAGCTGGCGGCAACCGAGGAAACGAGCCATGAGGCTGATCCTCTTCTGACTCGAAAGGCCGAGATGGAGACGGGGGTTGAGACCTACCGAGAAGTTGTTTCTGTTCCGAAAGAGGAGATCGGGGTGATAGACATAATCGAGACACCCTCCTATACCGAGTCCATGCTTGAAGAGGCCCAAACGGGCAAGGAAAAATCAAGTGAAGGGGCTCAGTATGCAGAGGATCCCCTCCATTCCTTCTTCAACGATATGGATATGTCAACACTGGAAGACTTCTCCGGGACGGGTCACTTGGAGATACCAAAGAAGGATGTCCCTTCGGGAACTATCGGGTCTAGTACGAGCCCATGATTTGTGAAGCAATTCCCTGCATCGAGCATAGATCCTAGGGGAAAGAGGACGGTTGTTCTCACAATCCCGGAGGATGCTCGGATCCTGTTTGCTCCTGTAGGGGTAGCTAGCTACCTTCGATGCCTGGTGACCGATGAGGACCAGGCAAAGATGAACGAGGTAGGCACGTCGAGTCTTTTTAATGAGGCGCAGCAAGCGCTGAACCGGGTAAGATTCTAACACTTTCATACTTCCTTCATGAATTCCACTTAAGTCTAAATCTCTCCTACCACTTTCGTTATTTCACAGGCCTCAGTACTCTATCATGAGAGCTTCCTCCGGTACCGCTTGGAAATCACCCAACTTTAGTTCAAACTCAAAGAGCAGGTCCGGAAGAAAGACATGTATAGGCTTCTCAGCGAGCAACAGAACGAGTCCCTTAAAGATCTCCATGTCGAACTGGAAAAAGCTCAAAATGAGGCTTCAACCCTGAAACGGGAACATGCTGACCTAGTTGAAAAGGTAAAGGTCTTTGAAGCTAAAAACGAGGAGCTAGTCGTGGTGGCTAATAACATAACTTCGCAGGTCCAACAGAAGATCGACCAGATTAACCAGCTCAGAGCCTAGATGAACGAGGTTCAGGACATGACCCAAGGGTGTAAAAGCAAAATGCACCAGCTGGCATCAGTTGAGAACCAACTCCGGGTGGTGAAAGACAAAGCTGACAAGTGGTCTCAACTGAATGACGATCTCCGAGTACAGTTGAGCTTGGTCATCACTGAACGTGATGTCTGTTACGGCCAAACACACTCACGCAAGTATACGTGGTCGTCAAGTAATAAAGTAGTGAA